GTCAAGGCCGCCTGGGCTTCGATGTGGACACCGAAGGCTTCATCACGCACGTGGAACGTTTCACATTCGCCGAGACGCAGGGACTGAGGCCTGGGGCACGTCTCTTGCGCGTGTGTGGCCAGACGCTACCCAGCCTTGGCCCCGAGGGTGCCGCCCAGTTGCTGCGCTCGGCGCCCAAGGTGTGCGTCACCGTTCTGCCCCCGGACGAGGGAGGCCGGCCCCGCAGGTCAGAGCTCCAGGCGTGGGGAGGGACAGGAGGGGGGCGTGGCAGCGGCCACTGGCCACCTTGTAGCCTCCTGGGTGGATGCTCTTCCTGGAGGAGTCCACGTGGCTCTGGCACTCCCATGGGCACCTTGCTCAGGTGTGACAGGGTACCGCCACCTGGCCCATGCTCCCTGCTGTGTGCATCCACTCAGTGCTGCCATCCCAGTGGGGAGAGAGGGCTGTGTGCCCCCAAAGCCTTCAGTGTCATTAGAGATGCCCCCACCTTGAGGGTGGCGTCAAGTGACGGCATGCAGGTTGGACCCCTCTCGTTGTCATTCCTTGTGAATTATCCTTGATTTCTTCCAACTGTTCACACGTGCAAAAACCGTGCCCAGCTCATGGGAGGATGACCCTGGCTCCTCTGCTAAGAGGGGAAGAAGGAAAGGGCAGAGGCTGGGCCTGGGCGCACTAAGCCATTTGCATGTGCTGTTTAAGCTCTCACAGCACTCTGTGAGGTTGGTACTGGCACCTCCAGGTCTTGGAGTCAGAGCCACAAGGGCTCCACCGGGACTTGAACCTGGGTCTGGGGAAAAGAATTTCCATTGCTGTTGGGGATGGGGGATGGGGGAACGGAACTGAATTCCTACCCGGGTGGGACAGGTGGTGCAGGACTCCTGCCTGACACTGTGCCCTGCCTGCCCCTCCCCCCAGGAGTTTTTCGGAACTGTACACGCTGTCCCTGCAGGAGCCCAGCCGGCGGGGGGGCCCAGAGCCTGCCCAGGACGAGGCCCTGGCCGTGGCCCTGCTGTCCAACGTCCTGCAGCCGCTGCGCCTGTGCCTGCAGGACGGGGGCAGCCCCCCAGGGCCCGGAGAGCTGGCCGAGGAGAGGACGGAGTTCCTGCACAGCCAGAACTCGCCATCATCCCGCAGGTGCTGCCTCTTGGCCATCCTTGCCTGCCAGTCCTGGGAGGCCTCCCAAATAGCTCTGGTTCTCATCCACCGCCCCCCACTCCAGCTCCCTGTCTGATGAGGCTCCTGTCCTGCCCAACACCACACCAGACCTCCTGCTGGCTACCACCACGGCCAAGCCATCGGCGCCAGGTGCTGGCCAGGAGACACCCTCTGCCCAGGTGAGCACAAACAAGCTTGCTCAGCCCCCGTGGCTCAGAGGTGCACCATGCCCATCTCTGCTTCTGCCCCCTAGGAGGAGCCAGGCACCTCCAGTGGCCAGGAGGACAAGGGCGACACGGTCCCCGAGCTGAGCGCCTCCTTCCTGCCACGCACCTTGTCTCTGAGGAACTCCATCAGCAAGAGTGAGTCGAGCTGGGGGGCATGTGGGAAGGGAGTGGGAGTAGGGGGCGGCGGTCCAGGACCCTGCTCCAAGCCCGCCCCTTGTGCCGCAGTCATGTCAGAGGCGGGCAGCGACACACTGGACGACGAGTGGCAGTCCATCACCGAGATCGCCTCGACTTGCAACACCATTTTGGAGTCTCTGTCCCGGGAGGGTGAGGTCGCCCAGGGTGTGGGGGAGGGGCCGGGACGGAGTGCATGCTTCGCTGCCTTTCAGACCCACACGGTTCCTCTGTCCCCTAGGACAGCCCATCCCAGAGAGTGGAGACCCTAAGGGAAATCCGAAGCCTGATGCTGAGTAAGGCTGGCCACCCCTGCACACAGCCCTGCACCTGCTCATGTGTGGTCGCCCTCTGCGGGGGGCGGGGCGGGCTTTACCCTTCCTTCTATGGGGTCTGGGGTCAGCCCTCCACCTCTCGTTGAGCCCTGCCCCTCCGTCTTCAGGCCAGAGCCCGGGAGCCTCTCCGAGAAAGTCTGTCACCTGGAGTCCATGCTCAGGAAACTGCAAGAGGACCTGCAGAAGGTGGGCGGGAGGGCTGCGCTTGGCGGGAAACCCTGGGACCGCACCAGGCACGGGGCTGCGCTGACCGCTGCGTGCCCGCCCCTCTCCGCCCGCCAGGAGAAGGCTGACCGGGCTGCCCTGGAGGAGGAGGTGCGCAGCCTGCGGCACAACAACCGGAGGCTCCAGGCCGAATCAGAGAGTGCAGCCACCCGCCTGCTTCTGGCCTCCAAGCAGCTGGGCTCCCCGGCCAGCGACCTGGCCTGAAGCTCCTGCACATTCATCCCTCGCCCGCCGACGGGCTGCGGACCTGCGGACCTGCACCTGTGCGTGCGCACCTGCCCTGGAGCCCTCCTCGGAAACCTCTCCCGCGCGCATGCGCACGTCTCAGCACTGCTCCCACTCCCCGACCCCTTCCCGGGTGTGGCGAGGCCGCCCGCCCGAACCTGTTTGTGAATATTCTGTGGAGAAAAGGGAGATTTCAGGGAGTAAAGAAGCCACTGCTACTTGTGTGCTTCCGTGCGTTCAAGAGGTGACAAGGGGGGGTGTTGTCCCCAGAGGCTGCGGTCCAGTTCCCCGGGAAAGGGGGATGGGGAGCAACTTGGGGGACGTTGGCTCAGGAATGCGACGGTGCAGTGTGAGGGGGCTCAGGTTTGGCCACCCTTGGCCCCTCCAGCAGCAAGCATTCACTTGCTTCTGTGGGGACGCAGGCAGCCGTGCTTGGCATCTACCCAGTACACTCAGCCCTGGCATCAAACGCGAGGTCCCCAAGTCCTGCAGAGGGTGGATCCCAGAGGGGTTGGGGGCCGTTCTCGGTCCACTGCCCTGCTCATCACACCACACCCGGGCTTCGTCGTCCAGACGCGAGGCCCAGACAGGCGGGCTTTGTCCATCTACTCCACTGTAGTCCCTCCTTGGGGCTCCGGCAGGACGAGCAAGGAACCGGGAAACTGCAGGCAGGAGAGGGCGGGCGGGGAAGTCTCCCTAGAGGAGCTCCCCAGGGGGCTGGAACTTAACAAGCTGAGTAAAAGTTCTCCAGGGAAAGTTGTAGCCCAGTAGGGTCAGGCTCAAGGACCCAGGGGTGGAGCGGCCACAGCTGGGTCAGAAAGGGCTGCCAAGGGTTTGCTGGGGCAGAGGGCGGGACTGGGTTGAGCAGTCCTGGCTGCTGCCCAGGAAGTGACCGTGGGGAAGGCTCTGGTCAGAGTGTGTGTGTGTTGTGTGTGTGTGAGAGAGAGAAGTGGAGCTGGCCACTGGACCAGGATGGGACCTGGGACTCTGAGGGATTCCAGGGGGAGGGACCCCGAAAGGGGTGACAGCAGGGAGGCCGTGTGTGCCACAGAAGTCGCTGGTCAGAGGAGAGGTGGCATCCCAGTGGTGGCCTGGCCCCAGGCTGGGGCTGCTGCGAGTGACAGGGCGGTGTCTGAGCCGGGGAGGAAAGGGGGAGCCGGCAGCAGGCGGGGAAGGGGGAGGCCCTGGATGAGCTCATTGGAAACAGGGTGTGTGCGAGGCCTCAGCAGTGTCCGAGTGCAGATGTCCAGTGGGCCGGAGATAAGGCTTTAGGATGCCGAGATCGCCCTGCCCGGTGTGCTGGGGAACTGGGGTTCACTCCTCCGCCGGCCGTCAGCTGCCTCCCGCCGAGTCCCCCGAGCCCCCCGAGCCCTCCTCCCGAGGCGTAACCGCGGTCCTCCCGGGCCCTGACCCCAGGACCTGGCCGCCAGGCGGGGGTTCCCCTCAGCCACCCCGACTTCGAGGCCTGCCCTGCACGGCGCCCCTGAGGGACACGCTCCGGGTCCCCTCCCTTCTCCACCGGGCTCGGGAGGCTGTTCCCAGAGCTCGCCCCCTCGGGCAGCGAGACCCGCCGCTGACCCCGGCCACGGCCGGCTCAGCCTGCGACTCGGCTGGAGCGCGGTCCCTCGCCTCTGCACATGCGCCAAACGCGGCCGGCGCCGATCGCTGGTGCGCGTGCGCGGCCAGAGCGGAAGTTCTGGAAGCTGTGGCGGTGGCCCGGCTTTTGTTTATAGACACTTTGAAGCGCAGATCGCTTCTCCCCCAACAGCCAGACGCCCATCGAGGTCCGGATTCCTTGGGCCAGCGTTTTGGAGCACTTACAGCCTGGTCCGCCAGTCTTTCCAACATGTCTGCTTTCCCTGGTTCACCTACAAACACTGGTGTCCCTCGGTGCCACCCACCCTCTTGCCCATCTAAGGTCTGGAGCTAATGAGCCCTCGGCTCAGACTGCTCCATCCGTGCAGCCTGTGGTCTGCACCGGATTGGACTCTGCGCTGGGGCACTCTCTTCGCTTCCCCTTTGCATGCACTGGTTACCAGGGGGTTCATCCAGTCTATATCACCCACGTCCAGGCCAATAGGGTACTTATAGCATTTGCTTAAAAAGACACAGCAGGTTAATCCCCTGCTTGCAATGTCAGCATCCCCATAGGAGTCCTGGCTGCCCAGCTTCCCGCCCAGCTCCCTGCCGAGGCATCTGGGAGAACAGTGGAAGATGGCCCAGGTGCCACCCATGTGGGGGACATGGCTACAGCCTGGCCCAGCTCTCGATGTTGGGGACTGAACCAGCACGTGGAAGATGGCTCTCTTTATTTTTATTGCAAAGTCAGAAACATAGAGAGGAGGAGACAAAAAGATCTTCCATCTGATGATTCACTCCCCAAGTGACTGCAACGACTGGTGCTGCACTGATCTGAAGCCAGGAGCCAGGAGCTTCCTCCAGGTCTCCCACACGGTGCAGGGTCCCAAGGCTTTGGGCCGTCCTCGACTGCTTTCCCAGGCCACAAGCAGGGAGCTGGATGGGAAGCAGTGCCCATATGGGATCCTGGCACATTCAAGGCGAGGACTTTAGCCACTAGGCCAACGCGCAGGGCCCGGCAGATGGCTCTCTATGGCTTTGCTTCTCAATATATATTTTAAACAAGAAAGGACAAATCTGGTTAGCTTGGCAACAAATTTATTAGTTCAGAGTAGAAGGAGCAAGAGTCCAACTGCTTTTTCTTCTATAAAAACTGCCTCTGGGCTGGACGGCTGCCAGCTTGCCCACTGCCCTCCCGGAATGGGGGCAGGAGGTCTGGGTCCTGGGGAAGGCTGGCACTGTCCCCCACGAGCTCTGGCGGCGAGCTCTGCAGGACAGCTCCTGACGCTGGTGTTGAGCATGAGGGCAACGTGGATGCCCACGGAGGCGCTGGCCACGGGTATCATTTGGTATCAAGGCATCGAGGAATCCACGAGGTGAGGAAGACACGTGGTAATAAGGCTTTGTGGCCTGCAAGGCCCTAGCTCCAGCCTGCCCTTCTCTCTAGGAGAGTACTAGAAGCTATAGGGTGGGGCCAGGTCCCCCACCCCCTAGTTCCCTGCAGACAGAAGGGAGCTGACTGGCAGGTCAGGGGACAGACGACTCCATCCTGGCTAGAGAAGTTAATGCTTCCGCCTAAGCACCTCCAAGGAGAGAAACTGCCAGAAAGAGAATAAATGTACCCCTCCCCAGGAAGACATCAGGGCAGTCGAGTACCCCCCCAGGCCCATAGACGCTCTGGGAGGGCTTGAAACCCTGGCAAGCCAGTGCCCTGGGGAGGGCATTCCCCCACCTGCCTTAGGAGCTGATCTGACTCAGAAAAGCCGAGAAGTCCATGTCAGCAGCGATGGAGGAGAAGTCTTCGTCCCCCGCCAGGAGGCCATTGGAGAGCCCCGAGGCCCCCAGGGGTGCAGGCGCTGGGTCGGGTGGTCTCTGGGACCCGGTCACCAGGCGTGTGATGGCCTCTGGGTACTCCATGAGCATGGGCTCGGCCACATGCGAGGCCATTGGCACGCCCTGGCTCAGCAGCTGCTGAAACTCCGAGTTGTCGACGGACGCCAGGTCTGTGAGCCCTCCTGAGTCTGTGCTGTTGCCCAGCAGGGCCCCCAGGTCTTCATCAGCATCAAACTGCAGGTGCAGCAGGGCCTCAGACAAGGTGCCTTCCCCGGCCTGGGTGCTCCTGGGGGCAGGCGGGGCTGCTGCTGGCGGAGGGCCGGGGGCTAGGACCAAGACGGGGGCGGGGGCAGGAGCTGGGGCTGGGGCAGGGGTTGGGGCCAGAGCTGAAGCCATGGCTGTGGCAGACGCAGACACAGGAGCTGGTGCCAAGGCCGGGGCCTGGCTCGGGATTGGCCCCGGAGGAAATGCCATGGGGGAGAATTCCTCAAAGTTGATGGTGCTGAGGGGTGACATAAAGGGATAGGGCTGGGGGGCTGCGGGAGAGAGACAGGCCCACGTCAGCAAAAGCCGCAGAGAATGGCCACTTCCTCTTACCCAATCTGACCTGGCCACACCTTCTCCTGGGAGCCCTCCCTGATTACTCAAACCCACAATGCTCTCTCAACTCTAATCTCTTCAAACCCTCCTGGTCCTTCGGAGAAAGGGATGCTTTCCAAGGTAAGCTGGTCTCACAGCTGAAACCCATGCCCCAAGGGAGGAGGAGGATCCCCAGAGAGCCGTGGCCACAGGCCAGCACCCACATCTTGTGACTGGAGGTTAACCTGTCTGTCACTGTGCACGGGGGTGCTGGTTTTGTCAGTGTCCTAGGGTATCCTGCATGGGGTGCAGGCCAGTGCCTCCAGCTTACATTACAACAGGACTTTAATGGGGTGCAGGCGCCCGCACCTGCACCTCTCTCCTGGTGACCCCAACAGAGGTGACAGGTGTCACGCTGAGAAACAGCCCTGCCGAAAGCAGCCTTCAACCCCTCTAGTGGCACTGACGCCTCGGCTCATATCCCCTCACACGTGTCTCGTCCTGGGGCTAGACGGGGTTGAACCTGTTCTTCCAGGGGACAGAAGGGATCCCTTACCAGGCTTGGGAACGGAAGGCGAGCTGCGAGCAGGCACAGCAATGCGCCGGGGAGCAGGTCGTGGGTCGGTGGGCCCTGTAGAGCGAGTGCAGTCAGTGCCCGGTCCCTCCTCCCCCTGTGATCCCTCCCTCCCCTGCCATCTCTGGCCTCCTTCCGCAGCCCCTGGCCCTTCCCTGCCATCTTACCATTGAAAGGGCTTTTCTTCATGATGCTCTTGAAGGTCTCATATGTTCTTTTGCGTTTCTCCTCAATGCGGTGACGGTCATCTGGAAAAGTGACCAGCTGGAAGTCGCCCCCAAAGCCTCCAAGGCCCTCCAGGAGCGAGGGGAGCCAGAGCTTCCAGACCCGTGCTCCCAGCCTTCCTCACCAGTGAGGGGCCCTGCAGCTCCTGCAGCTTTCAGAGGAGGAGCTGGCAAGTGTGCGTGCTCCTTGAAGTCCTGGAGCTGATGCCCAGGAAGGGGCCGTGCCCTGCAGGTGCACAAGTCTGCCCTCTAACGCCTCCCTGCTCTCTGGAATGCCAAGGCCTTTCTCATGCCCCCAGTGCTTGGGGACTCCACGGCACCTCCGTTCTTTCGAGTCCACGGCCAACCTTACACCTTCCTCAAAAACTTGGTTTTTCCAGCAGATGACAGATCTGTCTCTCATTCTGCCTTTCAAGTGCCAAAAACAAAACAGAAATCCCACACGCATTTTCTCCTCCTACCCTCCCTGGCTGTCAACTCCCCTGGCACAGGACACTGAGACCTTAGGCTCGTGCTGACACTTCCTCTCACTCCCCATCTTGCATGCTCTTGACCTGGATTTGACCTGCTGGGTGCCAGAGCCCTCCTGGCTGCTGAGTGTGTGCGTGCACAGAGATGTGACCAGACACACAGACCAGCAGACCTGAGCACCTGCCAGGAGATCTGAGGAGGAAACAAAGCTGGGGGAGGAGGGTCTGAACCAAGGGGGGCGTCCAGGAAGGCTTGTGTGAGTGGGGTGCCTGAGGCTGGAGGCGCAGGTGCCCTGCGCAGGGGCAGCTGGGAGAATGCGGGTCCTGGTGGGGCTGAGTGTATCACGGGTGAAGCGTGAGCCGACAGGGCGACCCTGCCTGCCTCGTCGCCCCTTTCCACCCCACATGCTCCTGCCAGATGTGTTCACACCACTCCTCTGCTAAGAGACACGCTGGCTTCCCACAGCAACAGGGTAAAAACCTGGACACAGGTGTGCCACTCAGTCCAGGCCCGCTCCCTGACTGCTATCAGCTCCCACCACTCGCTTGTCCCTCCCTGCATCCCTGGTGCTGGCCGTGCACCTGCCTTGGCCCTGCCCAGCTAGGTCCGGGGCTTCCTGCCTGGAAGGTCCCTCTCAGATGTAAGCACCATTTCTGCCCCACCACCAGTGCCAGCTGCTGCCTTGGCTCCCACATCTGTGTTTGCATGTCATCCTGTGACTTAGGGGTCTTGCTTGCATGTCTGTTAGCTGTGTGACAGGGAACACATCTTACTCATCCCTGTATTTTTAACACCTGCCCCAGGGGGCACTCGGAGCCCTGCAAGCGGCTAGACACACACACACACACACACACACACACACACACACACACACGCACTCGGAGCCCTGCAAGCGGCTAGACACACACACACACACACACACACACACACACACACACACGCGCGCGCGCGCCCCAAGCCTGAGAGCCAAGCAGGTGACTGCAGCTCCAGCAGGAGATGCTATCTCCTGTGTCAACAGCCGCCAGCAATGCCGATCAGGAAGTTCACTGAGAGCAGGCAGGCAGGCAGCCCCTGGAGCACAGCAGGACATTGGTTCTGTCACTATCCACAGAGTGTCAGAGTGTCGTGTGGCCATCACAGAATGCACTCAGACACCCCAGGGAGTGTCATCTCACAAGGCCAGTCGCCAGCGGCTGAAGACTGGCCAGGCAGGTCCCAGGCTTCGGCCCCGCCCCAGGCAGCCCTTCTTGGCCCGCACCTGTGTCGGGAAGGTATTGGAACTCCATGGGCTCGCTGACCTCCCGGTCGGAAGGCCGCCGCAGCTGCATGGAGACGCGCACTGGTGCCTGCAGGCTGGGGTCCGCGTACGGAGGGGTCCGGAACACGATGGCCACCTGCCGGTGCACGTCAGCTTGCGAGAAGGAGCCTCGGGCCTCCCAGCCTGGCCCCGTGAAGTACACCTCAATGTCCTCTGCAAGGCAGGGCAGGGCTCAGAGTGTCTTCCAGGAGACAATCCCCCAGCGCCCAGGGCCTTCAGCATGCTGGGGGCAGGGTGTGCAGCCAGCCCCGCCCTGCACCTGTGGCTCCAGGGACCCCAGCCGCGCCACCTCCTCCTTCTCATTGTACCTTTCTGCACCTTGTCGCACAGCAGGAAGATCTCATCCCCACCCAGGCAGCTCCCGGAGTTGCGGTTCACTCGGCAGATCTTGAGCTCAGCAGTGTTGGGGGCGCCTGAGGGGGTGATGGGGAGAGCCCTGAGTCACTCAGGGTGGCCCATGGGAGGGCTCTGTCCTGCACAGCCATACCCGACCACTCCCATGGACACCTCACCCCAGTGGGCACACAGGAGCGGAGCCCCTCTGCCCGCAGGGACCTCACGGGCCAGTGGGAGCCACTGGCCAGAGCCGCCTTCCACCGTGGCAAGGAAGCCTCCCCAACTGACCCCACACTCCATCTCTGGGGCTCCGGGATTCTTCGATTTGGATTGATTCTGCTCATTACTGAATTAAAAACTGGAGCTGGTCAGGACCAGCCCAAGTCATCGGGCAGGGTAGCTTCCTGGGAGCAGCTTCCTGGGAGCTGTCAGCATGGAGCTGTCACAGTCCTCGGACTCATCAGTCACCTGCGCTCCGGTGGCAGAGGTCTGGGCCTGTCCCTCTCCTGCCCCTCCTCCCATCACCCGAGGCTTCTCACACACCCCCTCCCCCACCAGCCTCCCATCCCTCTTCCGGTGGCTCCCTGACCACTCACGGTTGTCAAAGATGGGATGTGAGAGGACGGGCGGCAGGCGGAGGGGCCTGCCTGAGGGGTCGCGTACTGTGACCTGGAAGCAGAGCCTCACGGCGTTCAGGTCGTAGTCCCCACGCTGCTCCTCTATGGGGACTATGGGAATGAGGGGCCATCAGTGAGAGTCAGAGCGGATGGGGAGGGGGCACTGGCCTGGGGGGCTGCCTAAGAGTGTCACCAAAGTGGAGTAAGATCTCCAGGACCCTCAAGGCCTCATCCCCTGGGAGGGCCAGTCTCCCACTGGTACAGCGGGAGCATGGAGCAGGCGGGAGCAGTGTGTACATGAGGCGGGCAGGAGGTCTGGGAGGGTCGCTGGTCTCGGGGTCCTCACCTTGGAAGGGGTTGTTGTTGGTCTGGATGCGCTGGTTGATGGCCTGTTCCAGGTCGCGTTTTTTTACACACTGGATCCCCAGGTTCTGAAAGCTGAGGCGCACCCCCCGCCCAAGGCATCAGTCCCTCCTCTCCAGCAGTGCCCAGGCTGTGTATCTTGGCCCCACCCCCCCATCGTGCTCCCAGGAGCTCCATCCGCCGGCCACTATACCCTTCCCTCCCCCAGCCCACACCAGGAGTCCACCTAGGGCCTCCTGCACAAGTCTGCCCGCCTGCCGCCAGCCACCAATCAGGAGGCTCACCTGTGGATGCAGCGGTCAGGACACAGCTCAGCCTCATAGAAGCCATCGCGGCAGTCCTTCCCCACCAGCTCATGGGGGTGAGGCCGGTGAGGGGGGTCCTTGGTCACCAGGGAGATGCGAACTGTCCCTGGCCCTGTGTAGCCATTGATCTGTGCAAAATACAGGACACTTGACACTGTGGAGGCAGGAGCGAGGCTCTGCACAGAGGGCGCAGCCCCTCCCCCTGCCCGCCCCCCAGCTCCCCTGCCCCCGGACCTTGATGGTGGGGTGAGTCTTGGTAGTGTCCGTGCTCCTCTCGCCGGGGATGCTGCCCGCTGAACGGCCCTCACACTTGTAGCGGAAGCGCATCCCGCGCTGCTTGGGCTGTTCGATGATCTCCACATAGGGGCCGGAGGCCTGGGCTGGCTCTGCCCGGGGCAGGTGGGCGGGCACCTCGTCAGAGTGGGCTGCCCCTCTCCCTGCACCTGCCCCAGGAGTCCCACCCCTCAACCCCCGCCCCGGGGCAAGGACGGCCCACTCACCTGAAGAGAAGATGATGGGAAACAGCTCTGAAAGGGGGAGGAGACAAGGGGTCAGTGGCCACCCAGGTCTCCCCTCCCGGGGAAACTGAGTCAGGGCCTGCGGTGAAACTAAGGGGTGGGTGGGTAGATAAGGCAGAGACACCTGTTTCCGGAAGGAAAACCGGGTCCGGGACCATGGTTCTGCTAAGGGAAACTGAGTCAAGGGCTCCCTCCCTGCCTCGTCCCGCCCCGTCCCGCCCCGCGCCACCATCCGGCCCACGGCTCCCTGGCGCAGCAGCTCCCGGCGGCGCAGGAAGCGGCGCGGGGAGGTTCCCGCCACGGGCCCTCCCACCCCAGGCCTCGGCGCGGCCACCCCGCCGGCTGAGAGGGGCGCCCTCACCTTCCATGGCCGGGGTCCCGGGGTCCCGGGGGCGGGGCCGGGGTCGCAGCTGGGCCCGCGGCGCGCGCGCTACAGACGAGCCATTCGCCAGAGGCGGAAATGCGCCGCGCGCGCCCGTCGCCGCGTCACTGCCCGGAATCCGGCCGCGCCTGCGCGCTGCGGGGCCGCCTCCGCCGAGGCCGCCTCCGGGGCCGCCGTCGCCGCCGCCTGCACTCCGGTCGGCTCGGCGCGGAGGGTCCGGAGCAAGTGAGCGCCGCGCCGAGGCTGAGAGGGCCGCCGCCGAGGAGCCTGGAACCAACGCCCGCCGCGCCGGGCACCGGGGTTCGCCCGCCTGGCGCGCCGCGCGGCCCCGCTCGCTCCCGTGCTGGCCCAGCCCCGCCTGGAGGGCGGGCCCGCCTATTACTCACTTTGTTTTTAGGGGATTTCGGGGGCCCCCTCCCGCGCCTCGGAGGAGCTTGGTGATGTCACCCGGACCAGTCTGGAGCCGGGCCAGAGAGCGGCTGGGCCGCGGCCACCCGCCCCGCGCAGGGAAAGGCCCGGGCCTGCTGAGGCGGCGGGAGGACCGGCGGCTCGGCTGCACACGCCGCCTCCTCCCGCTGCCGCTGGCCGCTGCCCCGAGCCCCCGAACTGCCCCCTGTTCACCACCACCACCCCCTCCCCAAATCCGGATGCCGGCGGGGGACAGGGACGCGCCCCACCTTCCCACCTGACTTTGCCCCGGACCGGGGAGCCTTGCGAGCGTGCCCACCCTAGGACAGGCTCGGGTCTTGGGCAGCTGCTGCCCGCCAGCCGTCCGAGGGTGGGTTCGCTCAGACCCTCTGAGGCGCTGGGGAAGGATGCGCCCGACTGGCGGCTGGCGGGGAGCCCGGGGATAAGCCGCTCCCCCGCTCCCCAGCCTCATCCCTGTGTCGCACCAGGTGCACGACCCGGAACACCCCATCCCTACCCAGGCAATAGGAACCTCCTAAACTTGCAGGGTGACGCTCCCCATGAGTCCCTCCACCCCGGGGGCTGGCCCCGCATTGCCACCCGTTAGCCACCCAGGAGAGTGTATTGGTGCGGATAGAGAGTGCGGGGACCATCACACCGGCCCCCCGCTGACCCCTCCTCCCGGTGCGAGGATAGCCCATTCTTCTCCAGACAGACAGAAGCTTTTTTTAAAAAAATCTTTTCTGAATTCATACTAAATTAGGAAACCATGTGGGAATTGGAAAAGATTGGAAATTTTGACTTGCTTTCCCAGGCTCTCAAAAAACAGGAAGAGAAAAGTGAAAATAGCGTTTGCACCCCGCCCACTTGCGGCAGTTGCTCAGGCCCTGATTGAAAATTCCGGTTACTGGGGGGCGGGGAAGGGGAGCGACTTCCAGTCCGCAGAGTGAAAGCATTCACCCCTCCCCCGCCGCTGGTCGCAGGCTCCCTTTTTAATGCATTGGTGACTTTTACAAAAATATATTGGAAAGGCAGACGGAAGGATCTCTGGTTCCCCAAATGCTTGCACGTCAAGCCAAGAGGTCTCAGAGAAGGTGTCCTTGGGAGAGGCAGGGAGACCGGCCATCACGCCCAGAGCCACCGCCAGCTAGGTCTGCTCATTAGCAGGAAGCCGGAGTTAGGGGCCAGGAGCAGGACTTGTGTTTTGGCCCTCCAACTTGGAGTGTGGACAATCCAAGCAACATTTTGAAAAGTCAGTTTGTTTAAAAGGCAGGGAATGGGGTCCAGCACAATGGCTCAATGGCTAAATCCTCACCTTGCATGCACCAGGATCCTGTATGGGTGCTATTCATATCCCTGCTGATCCACTTCCAATCAGCTCCCTGCCTGTGGCCTGGGAAAGCAGTTGAGGACGACCCAAAGCCTTGGGACCCACGTGGGAGACGGGAGAAGTGCCTTGCTCCTGGCTTTGGAATAGTTCAGCTCCGGCCGTTGAGGCCACTTGGGGAGTGAACCTGTGGATGGAAGATCTTCCTCTCTGTCTCTCCTTCTCTCTGTAAATCTGACTTTCAATAATAAATAAGTAAAACTTTAAAAAAAAAATGAAAAAGGCAAGGAATGAAGGAGAGAGAGCTCTCCCTCCTGCCAGTTATGCCTCATGTGGCTGCCATAGTCGGGAATGGGGCTGGCCAAAGCCAGGAGCCAGGAACTCCATGCTGGTTTCTCACATGGGAAGCAGGGGCCCAAGTCCTTAGCTGTCCTCTGCTGCTCTCTCAAGTGCAATATTAAGGAACTGCCAGGACTCCAACCCAACCGTCCAGTATGCTGCTGTGCCACAATGCCATCCCCTCAGATACTCTTTTAAAGTTCATTTTATCTGGGCCCGGCTGAAGTCCTTGCCTTGAACCCACCGGGATCCCGAGACCTGGAAGTTGCTGGCTCCTGGCTCCAGATCAGCACAGCACTGGCTGTTGTGCTCACTTGAGGGGTGAATCATCAGACGGAAGATCTTCTTTCTGTATATCTGACTTTGAAATAAAAAATTTTATAAAAAGAATCTTTAAAAAAGTTCATTTATCTTTAAGAGTTAATAGAGAGCGCTTCCATTCATTGGTTCCTTCTCCAAATGGCCGCCATGGCCAGGGCTGGGTCAGGCTGACATCAGGCGCCCAGGTCTCCCACGTGGGCGCAGGAGCCCAAGTCCAAACACTTGGGACATCCTGTACGTTACCAGAAAGCTGGATCAGAAGTGGAACAGCCCTATGTGGGATGTAGGATGACAGGCAGTGGATTGATGCTGTATGCCACAATGCCTGCCCCTTAATGTATTATAGACTCATCCACGGGCTGGGCCATCTTGGCTCTGGCTCAGAGTGCTTGGAGTGTTGAGTGCACAATCGGGACTCCTCAACCCATCAGCCACTGCTGGCTGGCTGCAGTCCGGGGTTGTGGCCTAGCCTGGCTGCTTCTGAGCAGCCTGGGCCGTCTTGGCTAAGGGTGGCCAGTGTACCAGTTGGCAATGGGCTCCACCTGCTGGCCGCCTGCCAATGAAGTCTGGGGACTTGGGAGTGATGAATTACAGCCTAGGGACATCCGTGGATAAAGCCATAGTACGCGTGGGTGAGGAATGACTCCTGACCAACACCCAACAACAGGGCCACTGTACTTGCAAGTAAGTGAGGGGACTGAGACCTGGTGGTTTGGAGGGGAGAGTTCCTAAGATCTGTTTGGGTCAGACTGATTCATCAGCCCTCTTGGGAGTCCTTGAGATGGGTTGTTGACACAGAGCATCTCCGACCACCACGCGCCAGCCCACATGGAAGCTATGGCTGGGGGCCTGTCTGGCAGGGCTAGATCCCAGTACCTGATTAAGTGTTGAAACAGGGACAGGATGCATCAGGCAGAGCCATGACACTAACCAGCACGTGAGAGAACCAGGTCTGGGGGTAGATTTTGAGGGGAATAAGTGGGCCCAACCATGTGGAAATATAAGTCCCACTGGTTAGCTCAAGAGTTGAGGTGGTGACTGGCTGAGCTAGGTGTGAACATGGAACCTGCCAACACTCACAAGTACTGGGGCCGAGAATAGGTTGGGCAGGTCCAAGCTGCAGCACCTGCACGTGCATCCTGAAATAGGGTGTGAGGCAGGCCGGGCCACAACATCCTCCAGCTCATACAAAGGCCAAGATGGAGGGGCAGGCTATGCTGGGCAAGGGCCTAGCACCTGCTGGTTGCAAGAGAGATCTGGGTCAGGGAGTGTGGGCTGAGAGGGGAACCTGGGAAACTCCTCTATGGGGTCATAGCTCCCACTGGTGAGCATATGGTCCAGACCTAGGGGTTGGGCAAGCTGGACAACGTAGCCCCATCTGTTGACAAGTGTATGGGTTGGTTTTGGAAGGGGGTGGACCTGGCAGGTCCCAGCAAATCTTAGCCCACTGGCAAGTGCAGAAACCAGGCTGCAGTGCAGGTCATGCCAGGCCAGGGTATCATACCTACTGGATTGCATGAGCTGGGGATGGGAGCAGACTGAGCAGGACCAGGTTGCAGCACCCACCAGCAAGGATTGGGACTGGGCACTGGCTAGGTCAGGCCAGGCTGTAGCATCAGAAAGCAAAGGCTAAGGCAGATGAGGGGCCATGCAAGGCTGGTCAAAACAACCACTGGTATTTGTGAGATTTGTGGATGGGAACAGGCCTGGTTGGGGAGCAAAAGGGACGCCCTGGCCGGTGAGTTCAAGGGCCAGTGTAGGGGCTGCAGTGCTCAGGTCCGTGCAGTGGGTGTGGAAGAGATGAAGGTCTGAGAAGAATGGCTCCCCTGCTGGCAAGGCAAGGCCAGCAAATATCTCTGCAACCACCTGAAGGCTATTCCACCCCGCTTTGTATGGACGTCCAACCACCCCGCTGACAGGTCTGTACTCTATTGAGGCACCATTTGCCACTGCAGAGTTGGATTTTATGGTCAGTGTGAGCCTGGAAGTTGATTTGCTGACTGGCAAGAGGGTCTTTTACAGTTCATGGTGTCTCGCTGCCCCCACTGACCATCCTTGATCTTTAGCTCCCTCCTTCTGTGATGCATTTCCTCCCTTAACTGATTCAAGATTACGTTGTTAGAATGAGGACTGTAGTAGGAATGTGTTACTGATTGATATGCACATCTGTTGAGAACTTTCTGACCACGGAGTCAGGATGGATAAGGTCCTGCTTTAAGATGAAACAAATGGCAGAATTATCCTTGGAAACACCCACTTGACCATGACATGAAGAGTCTGTGCCAGAGTTTGTGACTGCTTCTGTATAAGTAAAGGAAAGTTTTCTTGCATTGTTCATTATGACCATGAAATCGTAGTGGTCCATTTCTTTTCTCTTTACGCCTACTCCACACACTCTTCTCGCATCCGAACTCGGCTGGAGCTGGCCTCCGGCACTGCGGTCTGGTCTGTATACAGCTGCAGAATCCCACGGCATGGGTGTGGGCTGAGTCTGGGATGCGTCAGGTTGGGCTAGACTCCAGCACCCACTGGTGCTTGTGAGAACCAGGGTGGGTTTAGGACGGGCTAGGCTAAGTCACTGCCCCTACTGAGCCATTTGTGAGCTCTCTCTGGGTGTAGACCAGGCTTGGTTGGGCTGTAGCACCCAAAACCAGGTACTGCAATGAGTGAAGGCTGGTCAAGAAAGGCCATTGTTCCTGCTAAGATAGGAGGTGGACTAAGTAGGGCTGGCCCAGGGACCCATTGGTATGTGTGAAATCTGGTATTGGGAGAGATTCTGATGGAGGAGCTTGGGGAACTCCTCTAGCAGGACACAGTCCCTGCAGGTGAGCGCAAGAACCAAGATGGGGAGCAGCCCAGACCAGGCCAGGAAATAGTACCCACCAGCATACATTTGGCAAGGTTAGGGGCAGGCCAGGCTGGGTCAGTTCATATCACCTGCTGGCAAATCTGAGCATCAGGAT